AGCACTTAAGTCGTAAGAGACAAGGAAACTCATTTTAATTAGGCACCCGAAAGTGAACAGAAGCCTTTTCCCAACTTGGTACGATAATTCCGCTATAAGTTAAATACTATAAAGAAAAACCAGATTATATAACAATTATACGATTGTCCACTTGGTTAAGAAAACAAGAGATGTCACTTTATTGCCTCTCTGAAGTAAGGAGCTATAAAATACATGTTTTGGTTTTTTATACGATAGGCTTGCAATATTTGAATGATACTGATGTAAATAAATAATAATTAACCTCGACATTGTTGGTTTAGCTGTACTAAAGATTTGAGTACGCCAGGACACTCCGAAGGTTGGACAAAACTACTGTAATTTCTTAAGTATGTTATACATTTATATATTGTTATGAAAACTCATACTAGGACGTTATCCTGCACCATGTAACCTCCTAATACGGCGACTGAATCATTGCCAATCCTCCTGAGGATAAAGTGCGTCGTCCATCCATCCGGACCAGCAGGCCTGTCCATAAAAGAAGAGGAAGCGCAGCGAAAGAGCGGGCGCCAGCAACTGTTCTTTCAATTTGCATCGAGATATACGACCGGCAATTGCCGTACCCACTTGTCGTATATTTGCAGGAGTCTGCGGGCATGGTGGCGTTCGGGATTACCTGGACTGCCTCATCACGTCCGTTTTATCTAGATAGAGCTCGACAGCGTACTTGAGCGTGTATTTCAAAGGTGTAAGGAATAGAAACATCAATATTTGATGTGAGTTACTTAGTTTAGGTCTTTGTAACTCCTGCAGGAGGTGGGTTCTTGTAGAACAGGCCCCCGAAAAAAAAAAATTAGATGATTAGATTAAATTTTAGAGGCAGAGATAAAGCGTTAATAGATTACATTAAAAGAAGTGGTCCCAAATTTGGTCCTTGGGAACTCCGGACGTCTTAAAAAATTTGTCCAGATTTAAATCTGTTGCTTTGGTTTTCCCTCATGATTGTGTGACATTTCAGAAAGTTATAATAAAGACGCTTCTTTACAGTCAGTATTACTCCATAATACTGTTATTTTCGATTTTTTTACTAAAATTACTAAATGAAGTTTTATTTCCCGTAAGGCTGATAATTGTTAATGCTCCACACTGTTGCTTGTAAGGTGTATTTTGGAGTATTGCAAATTCTGTTAACAAGAAGGTAACTTCCCGTCGTCCGATAATAATTAACAATTCCTACATGCCCCAGCCTACTGCTAATTGAGTGGTTAGCGACAATCTGGGATCTTTTTACATCACTTAATTCCTATCTAGATGGCGGACGGCGGGCCAGTTGTCTTCGGACCCGAGACTTCCTTGTCTGAATGAATGGGTTTCCTTTATTACTTTATCGGTCTTATACCTGCCCGCTCGTCGACACTGTTATTCTCGGTCGCCGCCTGTAACGGTGCCTCCTGTCATAATATTAAATAAATACCGGCTATTTCTTACTAAGTACGTCTGGTCTGAACGAAAAGTTTGCTGGACACAGACAGAACTGGTATTTTCAGGAAATAGTTACGAATTAATTATGAGTGGTGTGGATATTTTGTTTCTTTATGGGGGGGTGTTAAGTGTTACGGAAATCCTACAAAAAAGGCCTAGGGCCAAAAATTGCTGAAGAAAATATATATTTTGTAATAATTTGAGTCGTATAGTACTAAAACAAAAGTAGTTGCTGAGGTAGATATTTGTTTGGAAAGGGAATTACGATTGTCGCTAATATCTGTACTACAAAGTACTACTGCGTACGTAAACAACAATTTAGAAGCAATCAACCGCAACCTCGATGTTTAGGATCGAAAAGAAAACAAAAACAAAAAGCGGCGACTAGTGTAGGGAAAATTACGGTACGTGTCATGTTATTGCTTGGACGTAATTTGTTTTCATTGGACTTATATAAATTTATATCTATAAATAAACTACGGGTATGAAGAGGTGGTCCTTGATGGTATTTTTCAACACAGAATCGGGTGCACGTAAATTTTTCTCACCGCGTTTTTTCTCCGTTGGGGGATACGAATTTTAGAGATCGATTAAATTTATTATGTATTTAATTTAACTCACACGACATGTTGCAATGTCGATAAAAGTCGATAAAAGTGGAATTGAAATACTAAAAATATACATATACAGGGCGTTTCTTAAATAGGATATTAAACTGAGGCAATAGATAGGAGATACATATCTCAAGAGAATACAAGTTAATAAATAAAAAAAGTCTGCGCCGGTTGACCATGCGTGCTTTGCTTCGTCTTTCGCGGTATGTTAAGTTCAAACGCATAAAACAAATCTCACTTGGCAGCCACTCGTCTCGTGCTGCAGGCACCATTGAATACAAATGCAGTAAATGGTACTGGACACATGCGAGAGGATGCGCAAAAAAGGTCTTTATGTCTTCAGCTGCTGTCGCGGTAATGTTTAATCTCGATTTTTGCTGTAAACTCTGCGAACGCGTTGTTGGAAAATGCAAGAAACGATTGTAAATAAAATACAATGGTTTAAGAGTTGTTTTTGTGTCTTAGGTAGATTATTTAATCTAATAGAAAACACAAAATATTTTCGACTTCATTTTAATCCTTTTCAATTTAATTCTTTTCGACAGCATAGTCAATTTGACAGTGTATAATTAATTATTCGCTTTCGCAAGAAATGTTTCTGTGGGTAATACAAACAATAACATTATTCTCCTAAGCATTCACAATAGTTCTTTTTTTTTGTGGCCACTATTAACCTTTCCTTTGTTAGGTACTTTGTTTTGACTGAATAAGAAGCGATTACGCGACTTTTTGTTTCGGCAAGCTAAATTTATCACTATAGATGCTAAATATTAGTGATAAATTAAGCTTGTCGAACAAAAAGTCGCGAAATGGACATTTCCCAACTCTTTTTCCTGACCTATAAAGAGAAAAAAATTGAAATAACAATATTGTTTAAAAGAGAAAATCCTTTAGATACCGATAATATTTTAGTAACCCTAGAGAAATTGTGTGGTGGAGAGGCGGTATATTATAATAAACATAATTGGGTGCCACATTTAGATATTTTTGAGATTTGCAGCCATGCTAGCATTCTAAAGCAAAACCAAATTTGCTCTAAAAATAATTGTATTTATTTTTATTGCTGTGCGTATATTGTAATTGTTGTGTCGTGATAATTTTCTCGTTGTCAAAACTGGCGTCCAGCCCGGATAAAATATTTAAAATCTCTTAACCATTCAAGCGCTGAGAAATGGGCGATTTTCGTCGACGCGGTACACTTTTACTTTTTTATGCGATCGCGTGCTGCGGTAGAAAGTATTTAAATTAAAAAAAAAAATTGGGGACTCGTTAAGAATTGTAATTCGACGTTTCACTTTTAACTAATTCAAGTTTGCGTTCGCGTGGTGGAATGAGGATTTTTTTATAACGAAGAAGGGTTTCGAGGATTGAGGTCGAGGCCGCTTTGGTAAGTAGGCGTAGGCGGTGACGAAAATGTACTAATTTTCAGGGTTTACGTACATAATAGAGCATTTATATTTGGACAAATTTGTAAAGTTATCAGATTCCAAAGTTCCAAATCATTCCATCAAATCATTCAGTTCCAAATTATTTTTTAATTGCTCCTAGTAGCTGTTACAATTATATTGCAATGATTGAATAATAATTTTGAAGTTTTGCGCCTCGGACAGACGTTATTGTGTGATTGTATAGCGCCGTTTTGGAGTAAAGTGATTTAATTATTATATCTACTAACAGAATATGTATAAAATAGTCCTTTCGTCCTTTCAGCGCTGATTTTAATTTCGGTAATAAGGAAAAGTCGTAAGGGGCCAGGTCTGGCGAGTAAGGAGGGCTATATGCCCCTACCGGCATTGAATTATACATTGCACTAGGTGTTGCGGGTATAATTCAACGCCGGTAGGGCCATATAACCCCCGGAGTAGTTGTTTCTCGCAACACTGACAATTAAAAAAAATACCTCGTATCTAACGACTTGCACCAAGATCTGCATTTGCAAGAGCATTTTTCTGAATAACCGCTGCTACTTCAGTTCTAGGAAAATATTTATTCAAAAAGGACTAAGAATTGGTTCGCTTTCGTCGAACTGTTCACTTGCTGGAAATCGTTACTCTTTCCCAGTCACATCACCACGTCAACGGTACCTGGTACTGTTGGAATATCGTGAATAACCCTATCACACCTGGGCTTCCGAAAATCAACTGCTAAGCGTCCTTAACTGGGTTCAGGAAAGGTCGCCTGATCCTAAAAACGGATCGTTGAAGAGTTCCACAAAATATACAGTAGATGTTATTTTTAACCCCTTAGAATATGGAGTCCTCCAAGGAACAGTTTCGAGCAATTCTTTCATTTAATATTTTAGAAATTGCAATGCATTTTTTAGTATGAAAACTGATTATGATGATGATGACTTTTCATATCGCTCAAACTTCTACTTGAACAGAATTTTTGAACTCTGTACCTATATATGTACATAAAAAAATAATTAAATAATAATACAGTACATATTAAATATACCACGGTAATTATACGTTTTCACAGAAACGATAGATTATATATCTTGCAAATAATTAAGTCTGCCTATTACTGTCCGTATTGTTTATTCGACGGCAAGTGATTCCAATAGCATTTTATTTTGTTTGTAATAGTCGTGTACAACGACACGTGTCGCCTTACGCCGTATGACATTGGGTCAGTGTTTACCGCACGGTCTCTATCAATTAGTTTTCTAGCTAGTAATCTAAATTGTTCTTCTAGTTACTGTAATTTCAGTTCTAAAAATAACGAACGGTTTATAAATACCTCGAAGAGTATTGAATGGGACCACTGATGAGTCACCTAGAGCTCTACCAAAGTACAGCACTGGAATCTCGATGTTACGAGAGTTAACCGACTTTTCCTATTGTATCTATAATATTCCTTCATGTTCTTGAATTAACTACTTCTCTTGATTTATCGCTATTATTTTGTTTTTCTTTGCAGCTTACGGCAAGGTCTTCCTGGTGCGCAAGCGCGGTGGCAGCGACGACAGCCGTCTCTACGCCATGAAGGTGCTGAAGAAGGCCTCGATCGTCCAGAAGAAGAAGACCACGGAACACACCAAGACCGAACGCCAAGTGCTCGAGGCCGTCCGCGATAATCCCTTTCTAGTTACATTACACTATGCCTTCCAAACGGATGCCAAATTGCACCTCATCTTAGGTGAGTAGGCCGGTTTGATTTTGTAGTTTAGGTTATTCTGATAAGTCTGGTACTCTATTTTACGCCCCATTTTTGTTCCGTGGTACAAAGACTAACATATATGATATTCCCGTAAACTGAAACCGAATCCCTTGACTCGTGACGTCATGTGGAGAGTGATATAAGGGGTTCATTAATAAGGTTCAAGCTAATTTGCCGTTACATTTCTAATAATAAATTCATATCAACATGATTACATACTCTCCAATTCTGGTGCAGCTTTTTCAGAATGAATTTTGGATTCTGACGTACAATTGGTGGCTCTTATTTTTTTTTAATTTGACATCTCTTGGAGCAGACTACGAATATAGTTCAATGTTTTAAAACGTCTAGGACAAATTTAAGTATTTTTGATTTAAATGTATATTTACGTTCGCAAACTTTTATGTTTTCGTTGTTTACAAAATTGAAAATACAGGGTAATTCAGACCTTATCCAAAAAAAAAAAAATTGGATGTACAGGGGACTCTTACAAATACAATTTTTTAATGAAAAAATCAAAAATAGCCGTTCGAAAATGATTTAAAAATACACTTCTGCACGGCACTGGAAACTGGTTCACTGTAAAACCTGACCTCACACAATGCGGCCGACATGGCGGCAAGTGTGATAAAAACGGACAAAAACATTCGCAAGGAAAGAAATAAATAGAATTTTATAGCACCTATTTTATATCAGCAAATTCAACTGCTTGTGCCGTTATTGTTATTATTAATTAATAAAATTAATTTGTAGTTTTAAATAATAAAATAATTTGACATACCTGATGTTACAACTGTTCAAAATTTTATCCACCGACGTGTAAACACATTTGGATCCGTCTTACTCAGTTTCTACGAACTAACACAAATGTTGTCTTGCTTCACCATAACATAAATGTTGTCTTGCTTCATCATAAATTAAAACGATATCCACCAACTCCGACTTGCTATACGCGCAGCTATGTAATGGTTGAATGTACTACAACTTCAATAATTTTTTTCTCTGAAACTAAGGATTTTATATAAATTTTTTTTACGATATTGACTCCATTTCTCATGCCGCATCTATTCCCAAATTTTTTTTGGATGAGTTGTGAAGTTGTTGTACAAGCAAAGCAATGCACTTCTGAAGTCATCAATAAACAGATATCGATAATAATAATAATAATAATAATAATAATTTATTTTCCTCAGAGACATAATATGTATAGGAATAGTCAAATAAAACTTACAAACTAAGACAAAGTCGGTAAAAATTCCAATATGGAATAAAAACATTTTTCCAATAAAAACTGCTTTAAAGATTTCCTAAACAAATATTCACTTTTCAGCAATTTTAATTGGTTAGGTAACTTATTAAATAGCCTAGGACCTAAACAGTCGGGAGAGTTGGACGTTATTCTAATTCTAGCGAATGGAACATGTAAATTCGTATTGTGTCTTGTATTATACTTGAGGAGTGCATCACTTAAAACAAATTTACTTTTATTTTTGAATACATATAAGCAGATCTCAAATATGAACAGACATGGTAAAGGTAGAATTTTAAAATTTTTAAAAATATCCTTACACGAGTAATGACTGGGAACTCCTACCATACACCTTAAAATTCGCTTCTGTGCAATTAAAACATTTGAGGCTAATACCGAATTGCCCCAAAAACAGACACCATACCTCAGTCGAGACTCAACCTGGGCGTAATACAGACAAAGAAGGTGTTCTATATGAAGAACTGTTCTGATATTTCGAAACAAATAGGTAATAGATGACAATTTAGATATTAGACTTTGACAGTGAAATTTCCAATTGAGGTTTTCGTCTAAATATAAACCCAGAAATTTTACGTAAGTATTATCAGTACTAGTCAACGGAAAATTATTAATATCAAAGCTTAAGTTTTTACAGTTAATAGCACGACTCGTATGAAAACGGAGTACTTGAGTTTTAGCAACATTAAGATATAATGAATTCTGGGAAAACCATTTATTCAGATTATCCAATAAAATATGACAATCTTGCATTAATATTTGATCTGACTTATTAGACAAAACCAAAGATGTATCATCGGCATACATAGTAAAGTGAGCATTAGTTGAAATAGTGTCAATATCGTTGACATATAATAAAAATAACACAGGACCCAAAATTGATCCCTGTGGGACTCCCATCTTAACAGAGGCATACTCTGATTTATATGTTACAGAAGCATTATTCTGATTATTATAATTAATAATAACTGATTGTTTCCTCTCCTCAAGAAAAGTCCTGATCCAATTTAGTGCTAATCCGCGAATACCCACATTTTGTAATTTAGATAATAACAGTGTATGGTTTACACAGTCGAATGCCCTGCTGAGGTCGCAAAAAACCCCAACAGGACACTCACACGCTTCCAGAGCCATCAATATATTATCATATAAAGAGTGCATAGCAGTTGTAGTAGACATACCTGCACGAAATCCATGTTGATTTTTTGTAAGTATATGATATTTCTTTAAAAAAGATGTTAATCGCTCGAGGAAGCCATATTCAAAAACTTTTGAAAATCCCAAAGACATTGTTATAGGTCTATAATTGTCAAGAGACATTGGATCACCCTTCTTAAGAACGGGAACAACTTTCCCCAGTTTTAGGGCATTTGGCAATGCACCCACTTCAAATGACAAATTCACAAGAAAAGCAAGCGGTTGAATAATAGGCCGTAATACTCTTTTGATCAAAAACATAGGGATATTATCTGGTCCTGAAGATTTTTTATTCTTTAACTTATTTGATAATATAGCAAACAGTTCATCTACATTAAAGGGAGCAAGAAAGAAGGAGTTATTTTGAGATGGAATCAGATTTTCGAGTGGAAACATATTTACTTTAGGAATTTTATTGATTATTTTTCCGGGAGATGCGATAAAATAATTATTAAACAGAGAAACTACATTATTAGGGTCATCATATACATTATCGTCTTTTTTTAACACAATATTATTATGAGTCTGTTTTTTATTACTCAACTCAGACAAAACATTCCAAACAGATTGCGATTTATTGTCCGAATTAATAATTCTCTGTTCATAATAATTTTGTTTTAAGGATTGTATTAATAATCTGTGATGTCTTTTTTTTTCTTTGTATATGTAAGATAATTCAGGAACACTTTTTTGTAAAACAAAAAGCTCCTTTAAACGCATACTCGAAATCTTGACTTCATCATTAACCCAGTTTTTACCCATGACACTACTTCTGTAAAATTTACGAAGAGGGAAATACAGATCAAAATAATACAAGAAAACATCATTGAAATAATTAAATGCATCGTTAATATTTTTTATGCTAAACAAATTGTCCCAGTTCTCATTACTGAGAGCGGTATAGAAATTATTTATCGAATTGTCACTAAAAGACCTACGCAAAAACGATGTGTTATTTTTATCAACGGTCACGATACCTAATTCGAAAAAAACAGTTCTATGATCCGACAAAGTATTATCAAAAACACTGCACATACCTTGATGTTCAAAATTGGTAAAAATATGATCAATCGTACTAAGGCATGTGCTTGTCACTCTAGTAGGCCACCAAACATTTCTAGTTAAATTGAAACAGTTTAAAACATTGCAAAAGGAATTATAATCTTTAGTGTTGTAATCATTATACGAATCTATATTAAAATCACCACATAAAATAATATTAGTTTTAGGTTTAACTAAATAATGAAGTACATCGGTGATTCCGTCATAAAATATATGTAAGTCTCCAGATGGTGCTCTATAACAGTTTATTATTAAAGTAGTTAAACCTTCACAGTCCCACTCTACAGCACAAACTTCAAATTGTTTGTCGATGCAATACGATTCAAGATTAATAGACTTTACTTTAATATTATATTTAACCCAAATAGCAACACCACCACCTAAAAAATGTTTTCGGCAGTAATAGCTTTGTAACTTAAAGCCGTTGATATGTAAAGCATTAATCGAGTCTGAGTTCTCCCAGGTTTCATTAATACATAAAAAATATAATTTTGAGTAGTCACATATATCTAAATACAATTCGTCAATTTTCTTAGAATTAAGACTTTGAGCATTAAGCAATAAGAGATTAGGATTAAATATTATAGATTTGTGTCCTCCTTCACCCTCCGCATGACAAAAAACCGTTGGATACAAGCTCCTTTAGGCCAATATTGAGGGTCCATTGCTTTTTTGAAATTATCTTCTAAAATCGTAACTTTGTATGACGTATAAAGGTCCGGATATTTGGATTGCATTGACTGACACAATACTTCAGGGAAAGTAGGCTTAATAAAATCCCTCAACTTTGCTGCAGTTGTTTGTGTGTCAATCCTATAAACATGTAAATCTATGGTCCTAGGCACACCTTTTACAGATGAACTTGAAGTATTAGTTCCTACTATAATCGAACTCCTGCTTTTCCTCCTGGGCACATTCTGCCAATCTTCTTTATTTCGTACGGATGACAAATGTGTGGCGTGGTTAATATCATCATTTATTTGTATATATTCTTGAAGTTTTAACTGGGATTCAATTTTATTAATTCCAGTAGTCAAATTATCCTTAGTAATTAAATTAGGATTTTCGGTCGCCTGAATGGAGTTTTGTTTATTTGTAGTTTTTCCCTTCTTGCTACTGAAGTTTTTTTCTTCATTTAAATTGATAGCTTTTTTGGTCTCAGCTGTTCTGCTTATCTGTTGGTTCAAGCCATGTTTTTGCGAGACAGTCCCATTGTTATCATTGGAATGATATTTATTTATTAAATTTATATGATCATTCAACAGTATAATTTTATCTCTTAATTCTTGGATTATAATGTCCTTCTGTTTAATGACATAATTAAAAAGTTGTATGTCAATCTTACTTTCCATATTAGAAAAAACTTCACTATCGTCAGGCGAAGTTACTTCCGAACAAGTATTCGCTGACTTTTCACAACAAATGATCTTATCATTCACAAACTTAACGTTGT